AACAAATATTTAGGACACATCAGCTAAATTGAGCCTCCCTTTCTTGCCTGCAGGATAAATCTAAAATAAATATTTTTACCATTTGTCACGATTATATAACCAAACCCTTATTTTATTCCTTTTAAAAAAACAAAACAGGTTAGTAAATGCAATAGTAAATGCACAGATTAATGATTAAAATAAACATATTGGGGGTACATTGGATATACATTTTCGAAAATCCTTTTTTTTGTCATTGTGTTTTTAAATAGACACAAAAGAGTTAAAATCCTATGCCAAAGGGTTTTAGGGTGTTGATGATTTCTGAAATCACTATTGCAGTTTGAATGGTTGAAACATTAAATCAAGTTGTAATTTGTGAAGTTTTGATCAACCCTAAAGTGTGATGGGGTTAATGGCTTCCTCCTGTATCTTCCACACGTTTGGACTTGAAATCAGATCCTGGGGAAAAAAAAACAAAAAAAAAACTTCTGGATGCTCTGCATTTTGCTGACGTCAGCACATCTGTCCCGGTCCGGGACGGTGAACCGGACCCAGGAAGTCCCGGTTCAGGCCCAGAACCATGCAGAAAGTGGCTTTTTTCGTAGGTACTGGACCAAACAAAACGGGAAGTGATGTGGACCTGGGCCTGGTGCCTCGGTGCGCGTGCCCAAAGAGTCCCTGATAGGTGAGAGCTGCGCGTGCGGAGGCTCGTGAGAGTCTTTTACCTGCCTGCAGTATTGATGCCCGCAACCTGATCCGGAGCGGGGCTTCTCCTCTTTCCCCACCCCCCCCCCCCACCCAACAGCCCCCGCCAATAATTACAATTTTATACTGTAATTATTCCTCTCTTTTTAATTATTCAGGCAGCCTTTGTGCTGCTGATTCCGGGAGAAACGTGAGCTGCTGCGGCCGCAGACCGGCGGCCGAACGGGAGGTTTTAATTAGACATTCAGGCTCCTTCTGGATCCCACCCCCCCCCCACACACACACACCCACACACACTCCCCAGATATGGGCCCAATTGTTT